CATCCTTTCAACTACAATTCCTCTTCGATAATAATATCCAATATTACATTGCTAATAGCGCTATATAGATTTTTTTTTGATAATAAATGAATGCCTTATACTCATCCTTTTCAACTCTAAATATTCTATTAGCATTACCCATCTCTGCAGATTTTTGGTAATAAATGAAGGACTTATCTTATGTTCATCCTTTTAACTTCAATTCCATATAGATAACAATTTCCAACACTAAATATTCCATTAGCATTATCCATCTCTGCAGATTTTTGGTGATAAATGAAGGCCTTATATTCATCCCATCGATATTTATGACATTCCTGAAGGGAAAATTACTCATAAAGTTCCTTCTCATGTAGTATTAGTGAACTATAATGGTAATGTAGTATTGAATGAATTTGTACGCCCAACTGTGAAAATGAAGCTTTGAAAATGGGGCCTCGTATGCAAGAAATACTTGTTCATAACAGTAATTGTTTCCAAAAAATTGTTATTATGAAATTATTTATATTGTTTCATATTCTAAATTTATTTAATATTTAGCACGTAGTTTTTGGGATGTACAGGATGCAGTAATAAATATGATAGAGGACAAGATACTTGTTGGTTTTAACATATTTAATGATTAAGTAGTAAATATTCTGTACTTCTTATTTAATTCATATGTATTCAATTAAGTTTTCTTCATTATAATTATTCAGCCATTTGATATAAAACATCATTTAAACATGTTTCACTTTGTGAACAATTTCGAGGAGCAAGTGGCCATATGCATTAAAAGAAATAACGAAAAATGAACTTGGTGTTGATATTCAGAGGGATGTTCTTTATGATCCAGTAAATTAATTAACAATTTTCATTAAAGTTTATATTAAATATAACAAATTATTAAAGTATATTATTTGAAGATGCTAAGGCAACCATGGAATTGTTTAAACGAAACCGAAGTCTTTCGGAACAAATGGTGCCAGAAAGTTATCTTAGAAGATGGCAAACTTTCTCTTTCCCGAAATTTTCTATATTTCCACTTCCTACTGCTGCACATCCCACTGTATGCCTTATTGCATCGCCATGCATACCTTCTCTCAGGTAATTAGTTTTATTTATTTTTATGTATTAAATCTGCATATTTATATTAAAAGTTTAATGTTGATATATAATTTTATTAGTAATTCTTTTTAACTCCAATTCTATATAAATCTAAATAAATCATTATCATTGAAGCAAAACATTCAGAATTCGTGATGAGACTTATTGTATAATGAATAGATACAAAAATCACTTGCAAATTATCAAAAATTGAACAAAATAATGCAGAAGCATTAAGAATTGGTGATAAATTGCCTACATGTCTAAATAAATCATTATTATTAAGCAAAAATATGCACTTATATTAAAAATTCGCGGAGATACTTATCGCATGAAGAATGGATATGAAGAATCACTAGCAGATTTAAATAAATCATTAGAAATTGAACCAAGTAATGCTGAAGAATTAAAGATTCATGAAGAATCACTTAAACATTTAGACCAAATAATGAAGAAGTATCAAGATACTTATCGTATGATAAATAGATACGAATGATCACTAGCAATTGAACCAAATAATGCAGATGTATTAAGAATTCTTGAAGATACTTATCGTATAATGAAAAGATACAAAGAATTACTAGCAGATTTAAATAAATCATTAGAAATTGAACCAGATAATGCAGAAGCATCAAGAATTCGTGAAGAATCACTTATATGTTTAAATATATCATCATCATCGAAACCAAGTAATGCAAAAACATTAAAAATTCATGGAGATACTTGTTGTATAATGAGAAGATATGAAGAATCACTAACAGATTTAAATAAATTATTAGAAATTAAATCAAATAATGCAGACATTAAGAATTCGTGAAGATACTTATTGTATGGTGAGAAGATACAAAGAATCACTATCCAATTTAAATCAACTATTAGAAATTAAAGGATTAGTGATAAATTGCTTACAAATAAATCGTTATTATTTAAACAAAAACATGCACTTATATTAAGAATTTGTAAAGATAATTATCATATGAAGAATGGATATGAAGAATCACTAAATTTAAATACATCATTAGAAGTTGAACTAAGTAATGCAGAAGCATTAAAAATTCATGAAGTATCACTTACATATCTAAATAATTCATTATCGTTTGAACCAAAGCATCAAAAATTTGTGGAGATATTTATGTATGAAAATAAGTACGAATGATCACTAGAAAAGTTGAACCAAATAATGCAGATGCATTAAGAATTCATGAAGATACTTATTATATGATAAAGAATCACTAGAAATTAAACCAAAATTAAGAAGATATCGATATAAAAAAACTGAAGCTGATTTGGCTAAGGTCAAAATGATATTCTTCAGGCTGTTAATGTTTTTTTTTCTATTTTTAAGCGTCAAACTATATTATTTGTTATTGTTTAATTAAAATGTTAATTTTGATTACGATCTTAAACCAGTTTTAGATCTAATTGGCATATAATTATAATGATAAGAGGTTAGAACTGGTTTTATAACATATTCATATATTAGAACTGATTAAAACCAGTTTTAACATATATGAAGAATAAAACTGGTCTCAAATTCTTAGAACAATAACGATAAGGGTTTTAGCAAGTTTTTTCATAAATTATTCCCAGGCAAAAAAAAAAACAATATTGAAGCTGAGTATCAAATTTTTTGATTAAACCTAATTTTTTAATCAAAAATAGATTGTAATTCTGTTGTTCATTTTATTGCTAATGAGGTTGCCGAGGTTGTAAATTTAATATCAAAAAAGGGGAAGGAACTTGAAGATAAAATCGTTGAATTTTTAAGAAGTAAAGGTGTAGACTGTGAAGGTAGAGAGTGAGTTTTCACTGAGTTTGTACAGCACATTGTGTATCTGAAGTTACGCTGCCACTATCGGTGTAAATTATCTGAGAATGAAAGCTCTTCGTAGACACGATTTTGATCATGAACGTTCTTCCCAGTTTCTGATGTCCAGAAATCGCTGGCGCCCTGCTGGATTTATGGTGAATAGGATACATAAACTATCGAATTGAAAGCTCTTCGTGGCCATGTCTTTAACATGAACATTCTTCTATAGTTGTAAATGATATTCACACACTCAAAATTATTTATTTTATTATATAGACAAAAGAATGACAAGGGAATTGACATTACGGGTGAGTTATTTGATGTAGAGTTCGTTGTGCAGTGCAAAAATTGGAAAACTCAACAGATAGATAGATATTTTTTTTATAAAAATTCACATAAGAGCTGAAAAGTGAATAAGGATAAAGACAATTGCATAAAAGGTCCCAAATTTTAAAAAATTTTACAATTCAAGGACCAAAATAACTCTGATACAGTCAACTCTCTATAACGAACTGATAGTTCTGGAAGAAAAAAAAACATTCATTATAGAAAATTACTATGTTTTCTTAAGAATTCATGGCACTTTTTATACAAAACTACAATGAAATTTTAAATTTTTAAGTTCATATATCCAGAGTTCATTATGTAAAGGTTTGTTATATCTAAAATTGACTAATTTGGAGGATGGCATGTGATTTAAATCACAATGATATAAAAAAGATAACATTTCAGTCGGCCAACATGTCGTTTATAATTGCAGACTTATTGATCAAATTAATTGATGTATTTAAATTTTGTAAGTAAATTTATAAAAAAAAACTTTTATTTATAAATTTTATTAAAATTAAAATAAAAATCAATTTAAAATTTTAGATACTTATTCTTGAGTTCCTGAAGATTAATAGTTGAACGTTTCTTTACTATGTTCCTTAAGTCAAAAAACTGACCAACTATAAAATATTGTGTTATAATTTTTTTAATGATAAGTTGGTCTTTTAATTTAAAGAACATATATTATTGTAATTATTGATAGTGTGTCAGTCTTTGGACTAAGAAACATTGTAAATAAACGTTAACTTTAGGGTCAAGATTATTTTTAACTTTATTATTAACTATTACTCAAATTTTGTACAAAGAATCATTAGATACTCAAAATAAGTATTTTAAGTTTTAACTTAACTTTTATATTAAACTTCAAAGAAAATTAAAAAATAAAAAAAATGTATAAAATTTATATATAAAATTTAGGTACATATGTCTATTAATTTGATCAATAAGTATACAAATCTAACATATAAACTCTTTGACAGATTTGTAGAGATCTGGCATATTGGATTCAATTGTGATGGATATAATTCCTCACTATGTTATGTTTACAGCTGAGACAGTGCCTGATCCAAAGTGAATCCCTCTTGCCTGTGATCAATCACAAATTAAATTGTTTATATGGATTTAATTGTGATGGATATAATCCTTCACCAGTTTTAATATACCAAATTTTGGAAAGTTATTTCAGATGAACATGGTATCGATTACTCTGGCACTTATGTCGGAGACGCAGACCTTCAATTAGAAAGAATATCTGTTTATTATAATGAAGCCAATGGTAGAAAATATGTTTCACGCACCGTTCTTGTCGACTTTGAGCTTAGTACTATGGACTCAGTTCATGCTGGTCCTTTCGGACAACTTTATGTGTAATATTAACAGTCTCTGCTGTATGTTATGTTGCATCAGAGTTTCTGTGGATTTAAAAATCGCATTCAAAGTCAGAATTTGAATATAAATTATTGAATTTATCAAATGTTTTAAATCACAAAATTTGATTTAAATCATGATTTTTGCCATCCCCAGCTCTTGTACATTGGGTCTTTATTTATAATAATTTTTATTTTCAGGCCTCTTATATGTAAATTCTTTTATTCTTTTGCAATTATTAAGCTAAATAATTAGTATTTATTATGTTATTTTATTTATAGGCCCCTCGATTGTGCATGAACTGATAGAAGCACTTGATTCATATCCTCACAGTACTCTTGGTGTTGTGGTGATTTCATCAAAAATTCGATATAATAATAGAAAAAATAAATAGGAATGTAGTTATATGCCTGGTGCGTATGATACAGTTATGGAATCAAGTCGCGAAATTATTCTTACTGATATAAATGATATTTATTTAGACCTTATTCGGGCAGTTCTTTATAGAATGTCCAAAGAAATTGATTTCATTATTGACCAAGTAAAAAAACAGAGATTTTTATCTCAAAGTAATTTAATTTCATTTATTTTTCTCTTTGTTTTTTATTTTTGTTTTTCACTTTTGTGTTTTGTTTTTTATTTTTTATTTATAAATAAAATTTAATTTTTTACAACTTTAACAATAAATCTTGATGCACTATGCTTTAACAATAGTTGGGTGGACGTTTGAATATTGGATATGACTGAAAAAGTCTTGGATATAGATGTAATAATACTTTAACGCTGTAGATCTGCCTAAGGTTCCGAGAGCTGATAGTAAAAAATTTTGTCTCGATATGAACGATGCTTTATACAAGGTGTGATTTTACACAGAGTAAAATAATTGATATCTCTTTAATTATTTAAAATGCATTTAAGAATTGCTTTTTAATTTCATTATAAGTTCAAATGTGTTTTACATTTTAGCAAAATGATACAAATCGTTTTTTAATATATGAAATATACGTATATATAAACTCACTTCTTTTTCATATTTTGTGCTGGTGTACGTGACTGTGTATATCTATATTCATTTATTTTCATATCTATCTACGTATCGTATTCTATCAAACCAGTTTGCTAAAAATACATCACTATTATTTTGAATATCAGCTAATCTATTAAAAGGAATCCATTCGATTACATCTTTATAGTTTTAAGTTAAAATTCTTTAATACAATTATCGATATCCTTATTTCCGCTTGTATACCCGCGCATTATCTTCTGAGGGTCACATGTTTGATACCAAGCTTCAGATGTGTTATATCGATTGCAATTTGCACATTTTCTATTAATATGAAATCTCCTATAATAAAAGTCATATACTAACATAAATTCATTTGTAATTATATTTTGAGTTAATTCATAGACACTTATGCCGTCTAATTGCACGTAATTTTTAAACTTATAAAATATATAAAATTCAAAAAATATAAATTATGTACACTATTTAGTCAAATAACATACATATTAAAATACTATAATATAAACTCACTTCTTTTAAAATATTTTGTGAACTAGTCAATATTTTAAGTGTAATTATGCATGGTGGTGTATGCGACTGTGTATATCTACATGTATATTCATCATCAACCATCTAACCAGGTTGCTAAAAATAAATGTCCAATATTTTGAATATCTAATCTATTAAAAAGAATCCATTCGATTACATCTTTATATTTTATAGTTTTAAGTTGAAATTCTTTAATGCAATTATCAATATCCTTATTTCCACTTGTCTACCCATGCATTATCTTCTAAGGGTCACATGTTTGGCACCAAGCTTCATATATTATATCTATTGCAATTTTGTATATTCTCCATAATCTTCATCTCTTTTAAAACAAAATTCCTCAAATACTAACATATACTCATTTTTTGCAGTGCTTTGAGTTAGTCCATATATTTTAAACCCTTATTCTTAAACTGTGCATATTCAGTAAACTTATTAAATATTTAAAATTAAATTAACATAAAGTTATATATATTGTGTAATGTCATTTTTAATCAAATATTTTTACTTACTTCGTCTAACGTATCTAAATGTGAGATCTAGTTAATGTTTTAAGCTCCACTTTATAAGGTCATATATGTGACTGTGTCCATACTCTATAATTATAATCTATATGACGTATTCCATCTAACCAGGTTGAAAGACTTTGTCACCAATATTTTGTATATTGACTAATCTATTAAAAGGAATCTATTTGCATGCACTTTTGTAAGTTGTAGCTGTAAGTTGATTTTTAATACAATTATCAATATTCTTATATCCACTTGTCCATCCTTGCATTGTCTTTTGAGGATCATATATTCGACACCAAGCTAAAAATGTATTACATCTGTTGCAACTTGCACACTTTCCATTATCTCTAGATCTTTTAGAATAAAATTCATCAAATACTAATATATACTCGTTTGTTATAGTGCATTGAGTTAGTCCATATACTTTAAGCTCATTATTATTTAAATATACATATTCTATAAACTTTATTAAATATTTAAAAATATGAATTAAAATAAATTATATACATCAATATCATTAATTATTAAATCTTCTAACTTCATCTAACATTTCTAATGAATTTTGTGATCTAGATAATATTTTAAGCTCCACTTTGTATGCTAGTAAATGCAATCAAAAAGTATTAAATATGATGAATAGATATGAAGTATCATTTGTAGATCTAAATATAATGAAATACGCATCAAGAAAAGCATTAATGCATCTTAGATTGTATGCACTGTACAACCTCTGTAGACATGATAATCACAATCAAATATCACAACATAGGATTGTATGCACTGTACAACCTCTATAGATATGATAATCGCAATCAAATATCACAACATAGTGAGTATATCCTTTTCAAATTTGGATTTTTTGAAGTTTATAGACTGGGTCCACAGGTGGACCCAGTCTATAAACTTCAAAAAATCCAAAATTAGAAATAATACTATGAAGATCGCAAAAATGTGATTATATAGCGACAGTTAATCCAAAATTGTAAATAGTGCTGAATATCGCATTTAATATACTTTAATACCTTTCTTGATGCATTTCTAAAATATATTATTACTGTATATTTCTGTTATCAACTAACTTCGATGAAAATTTTTTGAACTTTCTATATTTATCTTAATATTTAAATTTTAAATTTACAATTTATTATGTCTGAAATTCATAATATTAGATTTCACAATGGGTTCTTATCATTTAATATTTATTTTCTATTTTTCTTTTTGATTAATGTGAATAAAGTGAAACCACAGTATTTTATGAACTTGAATTGATTATTTTAAATGCTTATATTAATCTAATTTTAGCATATAGAAAATAAATTAACTAATAAATTTTCATAACCCTAATACCTATCACAATATTAATACAAATCATGTAAAGAAATTTCCAGCCTTTTTTCCAAATGATTCAATCGTAGTCTCAAATAATTCTAATAAATCAAATATTGTATCATTAGAGTGATCTTTTGTGTTTCTTATTTTGCTGCATCAAGAATGTCATTTATTACAGATAAAATTACATCAAGGCGTGCGCTATGATACTAATCATATCCTTTTGATCAGTGATTAAATTAATCCTATCGAAGGAAGAGAGAATGCCCACTATCGCTCCTAGTGGTGTTCGTAATTCTATTACATATAAGAATGGAATCAGAATGGATTAAGAATGGAATAAGAATTCAAATTAATTCTAATATTTGACATTTTGCCTTATTTGCAGCTTTAGCGGCTTTTATTTTAATTTTATTTGCAGCATTCTCTTTTAACATATATGCATAAGTAATACCTAAACTTATTTAATTCGAAATTTGTTGTAATAAAATTTACCTTCTACTTTAGAGTCTTCACTAGCTTTTGCGGATAGCAAGATTACAGGAATCAATCGAGTTTCTACATTAGATCTTAACCAATCTAATAACTCTTACCCATTCATATTTGGCATCATGATATCTATTAAATTTAAATAACAATAACGGTAATACAATTTAATAATTATTATCCTTATACATAAGATATATCAAATAGAAATTACTTACCGCTAAGATTTAAATTGTGTAATTTTTTAAGTTTCTTTAAAATCGTGTAATTTTTTAAGTTTCTTTAAAACTCATATAGCATCTTGGCCGTCGCAAGCACGAAATACATCAAATTCTTTTAAAAGATCTGCCAGATAATCACTATAAATATGTAAATAATAATATAATAAATATAATTTCGAAGTGATCAATTACCGCATATCATTATTAT